CAGTTTAAAATGACGAAGCGCAATTGCTATCGAATGGCGTGATCTGAAAATCGAATTTTGCTTCAAGTTGTATTTTGAAATTTTATTTTCCAGCTATGCGTTTTTCACACTTTTCTGGAAATTTTTCGATTCCGCGCCAATAAAACTACTCGTCTTCGGAGACCAAGAAAATATGTGTCAAGCCAATTGTTGATACCTTCAACTGAAGTGAAGCGTACTCCCGCAAGGGCGTTCTACTTCGACAAGAACAAATGCTATTCTGATGTTGCATAGTCTGGGCTATAAGGTAGGTGGATTAGGACTTCCAATCCGGTACCATCGAGATAAGTTTTGACTACTTATGCGACATGCGGCCGAGCATTGTTATGGTGGAAGCTCAACAACGACTCATATCTGGTTGCCCATTGCTGCCATTTTTCCGCAATCACTCCCTTCAATCGTATCAGTTGTTGTCCGTAAGGAGCCCCGTCGATGGTCTGACCACTTTTAAGAAGCGAATGATATGGAATTCCCTAGTGGTTCCACCAAATAACTTAACTTACGTCTTCTGGCTCTTTTGACTATCGTAATGTATCCAATTTTTATCGCCGATGATAGTGAAATGCAAAAACGACTAGACTTTGTCTTGTTGAAGGAGCATTTGGGAAACAGCAACACGCCGCTCAATATATACTGGCAACCAGTTTCCAACTTTCTGAACTATACCACTGGCTTTTTATCGCAAATATTCCAGAAAGCTTTTTTTGGGTTTGGCACGGGTCTTCGTCCAAGATGGCCTTCAATTCTGCGTTTACAAAAATTGATGGCCTTCCTTCCCTCTCCTTGTCGGTTGTCGGTGCCACTTTTGAAACGTCGAAACCAGTACTAAAAGATTGAAATTGATGGAGCATGCTTTCCGTAAGCCTCATACAGAAGACGATGACTTTCTGCTCCAATTTTCTTAAGATGGAAGTAAAATACCAGCGCTTCCCGTGAATGGAGTTTAGCAGGTATAAAAGTTGACATAGTTGTCGCCCGAAAAAATACACTACTGGTGCCCTCAATACTATTTTCAATAATAACATCGCTAGGTTTCAGCAACCAGAGCCAACTCTCGAAATATTGGGTTAAATTGAGTCCATAACCCTTGTCGCTTCGTGATGTAACGAAGGTCTTGTGTTTACTACTAAGAATTTTCTAAAGCCAATTTGGGCTTCGTTTAAATTCCATCAAGGTTTTAATTTTCATGGAATAGAGTTAATCGAGTTCCATAAAGCAGTATGTATCTGTTCGAGCCCCAAAGTGCGCATGAGCTCTCATTACGGAATAAACTCCATCATGTAAACCTACTAAGTAGGCCATCTGAAAAATTGTCGTGAATATCCGGCCATAATTTCCTAGCAATTTTGTAGAAGGGATCTGCATGCCGCAGTTTCTTTAAAATTAAGGAAACTATCGGACTTATTAAAAGTTTACAGCTATTTCTCGGCCTTCTCATTAAGATATCGACGTCATCTCCATGCCGCATTAGATGTAAGCGACGTTTTTTCAGAAAATTTGGCACATGCGTGGCCATCAGTTCGGCCTAGAATGTATTGGAGTATAATTGTTCTTGTATTCTTAGAGCTCCACGAATTCTTTAAGCCTCAGAATAAACGCTTTCATTTAAAAATTCCTCCAAACAACCCACTGTCATTGTGTGAAGACTTTTCTTCTGCTGGGCCATTTGCCAAGAAAATATACGAAATTTGCGCATTTTGCATATGTTAGACGGCCAAAAGCACAGCTCAATAGACACACACTCAGCACGTATGCAAAATAGAGTGAGCCTCATAAGGACTGTACACAAACAAACATCTGAGTATAAAAGATCTTTTGCACATATGCGCCAGCAAATGATGATACACAAGTAACAAAAAAAAAACACTCCACAACAAAACAAACAAAGCATCACAAAGAAGCGTAGTGATGGAAACGAATGCGGAAAAGGGGCAGGAAAGCCAAAGAAAGTGCCAAGGAATAATAGAAACTGTTTACATTTTGCATTTACGTATGCATTTTATGCAGCGGCTACACACTTACATATATGAAAGGACACCCGCCAGGCAAGCAAATGAGACCAAACAGCGCTCGCTCGGTCGGTCGGTTTGGGTAAGCGCTCGAGTACACAACGCAAAAGGCAATTTATCATAAATATTTGTCAAGGCTGGCGGGCAACATAAAAGACAAAATAAAGCAATACAAAATTAAACAAAAGCAGTGTATGTATGTATGTGTGCAGGGGAGTGGCGTGGAGTGGAGTATCCTGATGACCGCAGTGGGTGGCAGCTGAGAATTAAGTTGCAGTGCTCACTCGCAAAAATCACTGACTTGGCCATTGGCAGCATACATAGTTATTTTACGGCTCAGCGCACAAGCTGCAGTCTTACGAGTATTTATTTATTTTTTATTTTTTTGCCCCTAAAATCACCACATTGTTTCGTTGTGCGTTTATAGGATGGTATGAACGAGGCGAGGCAAGCCAAAAAAAAAGAATTGCTGACGGCGCTTGATTGGATTGGGTTGGCGACCAGTCGCGCATAATGATGCATGCCCTCAATGCGCTCGGCTGACAAATGCACTCCTCAAACAAACACACACACACATACATATACAAGAAATTATCATATAAATAAAGCGATAGCAAAAAAAAATGGAGAAAATATCAGCAAATGTAATAATTTGTGGCTAACAAGCTGTGAAGTAATGAAAAAGTGCCAAATTTTAGCGTTAAAAATTGAAAAAAAAATAAAATTTAACTATAGAGGCGGATCCTTTGGCGTGAACAGATTTGTTTTTAAAAAGAAGTATTTGTTAGACGCGTATTAAGTAAACGTAAATCCATTCAAGTAAAGGATTAGTTGTACTAGCTCATCAATAATGATCAGTGATATTAAATTGTTCCCTTATTTTGCTATGAGCTTCTTTTTGTGGCTATCACTGACAGGCAGCGGAAAATTTCCGTTGATACCACTCTTTATAACACAATTGCTGAAATATGTACAGTCCCTGGCACCACATCACATATGCAGGTCCCCAAACGAAACTGCCTCCGAAACTGCCCGCTCCGGTTACAGAAAAAGAAGCCATCTCGTTCGTGGATCGAAGAAAGCCCAGCGCTTTGAGTTGATCGTGACGAAGCACACGACACAAGTCTAACTGCAGCTAGACTTTTACCCCACGGAATGTTGACTTTAACAGCGTTAAAATGGCTACTCTTCACTACTATTTTGTGCAAAATGAAATAGATCCGGTTTGAATTTAATTGGGGAAATAAGAGGAAAAACTTCTTTACATTCAGTTTTACACAGCACCAGCACCGACGGGGGATTGATAGAGCCCAAGCATAACTCTCTATAAGATCGGAGTTGAAATCGACTTGGTTGGCCATAGCGGGTTTGGACAGCGCCTCCGCTCGGCTAAAGGTTGGAAATGGTAGGCCTCATGTGGGTGTACTCTCACTCTTCCTGTGAAAGAGATGGCTGTGAGCGTAAAACTTATCTTCAGAGAAAATTTTCTAGACACTCTGACCAGTCACAAACGGGTTTGATAGTTGCGAACATTCTATAAATTCTCATAAGACCAGCTTCACTCTATTGATACTGTTACACTTATGCTTGCTGCGAGGGTAAGGTACTTGGGCGGGATCCTGGATTGAAAGCTATCATGGAAACCAAGATGAAGTGCATGAAAAAGTGCTACCCTTGTGGGAATTAGTGGGACACTCTGGACTTATTCTATTAAAATTTATGCTCTGGGTTGGACTCATAGACATTTCAGGCTAATAAGACCGTCACAGGCTGCTTCGCGAGCACGCGGAGGAGTAGATGTAGCTAGTTCTTTCAAGCGTATCTTTAGAATAAACAGATCAGTGCGTAACAATGTCGGCTCAGAATGAATCCTTTTGTAAGGAGTTAATCATAAAGTTCGTAGGCGAAGGAGGTGAGACGAATATACGAATCGAGCAGACTTGAAAGCAAGACTTAAAGTGTCTTAAAGGGGTCTTACGTTAATGTGGCAGTCAACCAAAAATACCAACTCACTTAGACCCTGTCGGTCCATTTTAATACCACTGTGAAACACAGAAACCTCATTGACTATGTTTCATAGAACCATTTTGAAGCTCTTATGAAGCTTAGGATTGATTTTGTTCCTACACCGGACAGTTCCGTGAGAGAACTAAAATAGTGTTTACCTAAAAAGCCTGCCCTGCTCTTTGCTAAAGCTGATCAACTGCAGAAGAAATGTTCGGCTGTGACTTCTTCTTCCTCAGCTCGGGAACTTCTACAATATGCATGGGAGAATACTCACAATCTCAGATAGTGCCATCAAATATCCGATGACCGGCTACACAGGCCATGAGCTTCGAAATGCCCTCTCTTGGGAGGCTGGAGGTTGGTCTCTTTCTTGGTCAGCTCATCGGCGTGAAATATTTCTATGCTCCGGGACCCAAATGGGACTGACCTTGAATACGGTACTACTGTCATTTAGGGCTGTCACGTATTACTGTGCAACCTTTGATTTTAGCATTCACTGATTTAATGGCCGCCTGGTCATCCGGTAAAATACTGACCGTTGTATTCGTTACGGTCCCAAATTCGTACGGATAATTCGAATCCTAATTCTTCAAAGAAAACTCCCTAATCAACCCTATTGTCTAGCTAGGTTATATCCATGGCCTTGGTGTTTTTTACTCTCTTCTTGAAGGAATTTTCTCTTGAAGAGCGTTCCAGCGGTTGGTTCAGGGGCGGAGAGTCAATTTCCTGATCATAATTATCCAGTGTGTGAAATATATTAGCGCGGCCAACACGCTGTTGCTTCCATACTTTTACTGAGCGCCGAAGCGGCGGTCACGTGTTTTCCTTCGAGATTTACAGCAGGCAGATTTGTTATCGCTGCCATCGCTTCGTTTGGGGTAGTCCTTAAAGCGCCAGAGATGCATAGAAAAGCTGTTCTTTGGACCTTACTCAATGGTTTTAGGTAACTTGCCTTTTGAGTTGCCGGCCGCCATACAATTATTCCATATAGTAGTAGTTGCAGAGTCAGAAACTCTCTGTTGCCCTCAAGTTAAAATTTCCGGATACAGACCACATGCTACCTATTAGCATAATACTGTTTCGGAGAGTTAATATCTACTCTGACAGACAATCGCCTTCTGTTACGACCGAAACTAGAACGGCGGACCTCTCTGGGTCGCCTCGCAATACTTCCAAACTGAGTTAATTTAGGCCCCAAAGCTCAGCGACGAACCACTGCAAGGCTGTTTATCACGATTGATGGTTACCCTCGAGGTCATTTATCCTAACATGTAAGGTATTCCTGGGCATAAATATCACGCGGTCAAAAGAGTTTCATAAGCTGGTCAAGCGCCAACTCGTAGTGCTGATAGGAGATCTTACAGAGCACTGTCTAGTAGTAACCTATTACCGCAGCTGTTGCGAAGATGACGATTTACTATCTTCTCAGCAGTTTCTTCTTAGTTGCCGTTATTTCTCTAGGCTAGTTTTGCTAATAATGCCATTTGCTTTTTTATTGAACCACACAAATAACGCCTAAGTGTGGCGCGTGGCCTAACTTAACCTAACTTAGACCGTTATATATGCCTCTAAGTCCTAGATGAGTCTATTTAAATTCAATATATTTAGGTTCGTAATAATTTTCGTCGCGTTTTTATTGTCTTTCGCCTATTGAAAGTTTTGCTGACTGTCTGTTAGCGGCTAGCTTCCGACAAAAAGTAGCTGTTAATTATAGCAAATAAGAGCTTTTATCAAAAAATATGTATACACATACGTATCTTAATGTCTTCAAAAATAACTTAAGTATATTTCTTTTTGTTCTTCGTGTAATCTTAAACAACTTTTCGTGTAATTAAATTTAAATCTTTAAAATCCCTCGAACAATCGAGTTATTAGTCCCCCATTATTTTTCGAAAAAGTACCTAAATTTATGTACTATACATCTATAAAGCCGCAGCTTTGCAAACTAAGGTAAATAATTCCATATCAACCATATCGCCATTCCCACACCGAGCACCAAATCCATTGGCAGTGAGAATTTTCCCCGCATCGCCGCCTCCACACGTTCGATTTCAATAATTTTTCGCGCGCAGCGTATCCACTGCGTCACCGCGCTCGCTTCCTGCGCTGTGAATTCGTACTCTTCCTTGGCACCGCTAGCCGCACTCGCTGCACCGCTACCGCGCAGTAACACCGTTATGCTCTTACTACCATTCAATTGCAGCTCCAGTGTTGGCCAAGCGTAATGATGACGATAGGCAAGTCGTCGCTTGCGCACCTCTGTGCAGATGAGGCAGCGATCGAAGAGGAACACCTTGGCGGTGTATTTCTTGCGCGAACGATGATGATACGCCTCAAATTCGGCGGCGCGACGGAAGTAGCCCTGCGCGGGTAGGTTGAGCTGTGGATGCGTAGGAATTAGTTAGGAAGGGATTCGATATTTTATTTTTTATTTTGTAAATAAATTCAACTCACCTCTGCTAGCTCGTCTATGGCTGCCACTTCTTCAGCCTGATTGACCACTTCGAGTAGGCGTCGCATGCGTGTCTCCAACTTGCACACAGACGCCAGTACTGGCTTGCAGCTAATGCCGCTTTTGTAGAATTCCTGTTGGAGAAAGAGAGAAAAAGATGATTTAAATATTTAGTGACCATAGTTTGAAAAGAATTAATATTTTTTTGGGAAGTACTTACAGATATAAATTGCTGCAATAACAACGGATATCTGGTCAGTCTTTGCACGGGCTGCACAAGAAAGCTGTCAATGCCCAATTTGTCGTTAATTTGATTTTGGACATTCTAAAAAAGACAAAAAGTAAGAACAATTTTGGAGGATTTAATTATTTGACAAATTTTAAATTTTTATATACTAGGGCTAGATAATACACTGTAGCATAAGCACATCGCCCTTTTTACTTTAATTGTCATGTGCACATAAGTAATGTATAAACAAATAGGAATGTACACAAACAACAGTTTACCCAAATCAGTT